TTACCAATGGTAAATTTGGCTGATGGTAACACTGAAGTCCTAACACTGATTGTTCGACATTTCCAATAACTTAAGGTATGTCTAATAGTCCTCAAAGTAAAGGGGCATTAAACTAAACTTCATTTTGCTTCACTTTGATTAAAAACAGAGAGATGCCATTGAGCTTCAGAAGTAGGGTGGGGAATACAGTGAGGATATCTGAGATTATTAAAATCTAACACACCAGAGCTGGGTGTCACAACTCTGAAAGAAGTCCCTCCCTTAGAAATGCCAGGTCCACATTCCATATCTGTAATTTCCTGTCCAAAAAACTCTAAAAGCTTATTTTATTTTTGTAATTTTGATGACAAAGTTTGACCTGGAGTTAGTTAAATATTCATATTTATTTGCAAAAGTAATAAATATTAGTCTGCAAATAAGAATGGGCTCCTCTAGGTAGGCTGCCCAGATTCCACTGGAGAGTTGTGTGATTTTTGGTATATGCACTGTGTTGCCTATTTATTTTTTTTTTTTTTCTGCAAGAGGTTCCACTTTTATTTTTTTAATTTAACAAATCTTTATTGTTTAGATTATTATACTTGTTTCTCATTTCCCCCCCAATAGCTCCCCTCCACCCAGTTCCCACTCCACCCTCTGCCTTTACCCCCCACCACCACTGTCCTCATCCATAGGTGTACGATTTTTGTCCAGTCTCTTCCTGTACCCCCCACATTTTCCCCCTGAGAATTATCAATCCACTCCCATTCTATGCTCCTGATTCTATTTTATAAAGTACCAGACGTCCTGAATTTGGATATCCCATGGGTCTCAGACCCAGGACCAGGAGCTTGCAGCAGTCCTAACTGAGCACGTGTTGTGCACAGGGCAAGAGTCTGTGCAAGTTCAATTTAGTGTCTCCTTTGTCATGGAATGCCATAAGAGATGGGAATGTGCAGCTGAGACTCCAGGGCATAAATGACATTGCTACCGGCATACAGCCCAGTCAGTGTTGGTCCCTGGACTTGAACGCCAGTTCTGTCTGCCTCGGTGCTCTTTCTTAAACCATCATGCAGAACTGCTGCCCAGACGTCAGATGACATTGCCTTTTACCTTATCATTCACTCAAATGGTAAAGTTAAATTTCCTAAGATTGGAAATATTAGTCTGCAAATAAGAATGGGCTCCTCTAGGTAGCTGAATTTGGCATTTCTATTTATTCATGAGGTGATTTCTCATCTTACATTTAGAAACCACAACTTTAAAAAATCTAATATCTTGATCAAAATAAATGCCCAGTCCTCACATAGTGACCACCATTGTCCGTGGAAGATTAATGAGCTAGTCAATGCCATGTAGTCAGCAAGGAGTGTCTGCTGGGGCTGAGTATTGCCATCAGTAAAACTTGACAAGTTCACCATGCTGGAAACAAGAAGCATATTCTTCCCCACCACTAGGGCTGCTGTCTTGTCCTTGCATGAGTGACCTAGCTATTTCCTCAAACACTTTCCTCTTCCTTTCTTTTTTCCTCACCACTGGAAGACTGGCCAGGGCTAAGTTCTTAGGCCTTAAAGTGAATGAGTAAAGGCCACAAGAAGAAACAGCAGAGCTGTTCATGTGCCCAGCTTGGAGTCCTGTTCAGTGTATTTTGTCTAGAAGAATGCGATATACAGAACAGGGTGCTATGTAGAGGGGTAGAGTGAGAGTGTGAGAGAGCTCCAGAGAGAATAAAAGGGAAATCCCGGCCAGTTGAACAAAAATGGCTTGTTTTCCTTTTCCACCTGGCCTGGAGTTGTCTGGGTGGGGCAGGACCTAGAATAGGAAACACCCATAAAGCTAGTAGGCTCCACAGCTCTTGTCAATCTCATGGTGGGCATGGAGTCTGGAGAGAGCACTCTGTGTACTCTGTCATGAGACAGTGCCAGTTTTGAGAATCACATCTTAGCCACCAGAAAATAGATCTGGAAGCTCAGGGCCAGGAGTTAAGGGTCATAGTTATAGCAAAGCTTTATTGGCAGGTACTTTGTGCCAGGCTTTGTTTGAAGTGTTTTAGATATATTAACAGATTTAATCCTCAAACAACCTATTATCATGCCCAGCCTCTGGAGTCAGTGCTCTGTGCATGAGGTTATGAGAGTCGGCTCTGTAGTGAGACTTCTTGCTCTGCCCCTGACTTGCGGTGTGATTGTGAGTGATGACTTCTTTGCGCCTACATTTTCTCAGCTTTAAAGGGAGTGATAACAGCCCCTCCCTCTTAGGATTAAAATGGGAAAAGGCAGGTGAAATACTGGATTGCATGCTTAGCCTGTGGGCACTGGCTGATGCTGGCTTGAGAAGGCAGCTTTTGGCAGCAAGAGCATCCCATTCAGGGAGTCCAGTTCTGTGCCTCTCTTAGTAGAGGCAGAGCTTGGGTACTCAGTCTTCTCTGAACAATTTATCCAACTCCACCTAGGTAATTGGTTAGGTGTGATTTTTATAATCTCAGTCATTAAGAATTCACCCTCTGATCCAGCTCTGAGGCAACATAATCAGGCTATAATGTACCCCACTGAAGACATAAAAAAACCAAAAGGCTCACAATGTTAGATGGTGACATATCTCTAGGCTGAGGATCTTGCCTGCTAGAGTAAGAGTTCCAGTGCTAATACTGGCACTCCACTGGGCCAGCTGCAAAAGTTCATGACAATACATGGCCTATACCAAAATCAAACTGAGGTGCTCATGAACTGTGGACAAAGGCCTGAAGCTCATCCTACCACCCACCACAGGAGCTCTGCTTGTTGTGTGCATCCACTAAAGGACCTATTCCTTGTGGTGGAGCACTCTGTTTGGTTATGCTTCATGAGACATGGATGAAAAAGGCATAGTCTCTATCCTTCAGGGCTACCAGGGTCACACACATCCAGGGTGTTCAGGAAAGAGGGCAGCTTGATAGGTGTTTCACTTGGGCCAGATCCCTGGCTAAGCACATATGGCTATCTCTTCCTTTACAGAAGGGGGAGGCAGAGTGGGAGATAGAAGGCAAGTCAGGGAAAATCTTCCTGGAGAGGTGCTTGAACCTTACTGATTGTAAGAGTGGGATAGGAAAGAAAAGGTGGTAAGGGACGGCCAGGTAGAGAGAATAGTGGCAGTAAAGGCCAAGAATGCAGAATGGTCCAGGACCTGCAAGAACTTCTGGGTTATAGAAATGAAGTGCCAATCAGGGCCAATTGGAGACTGCTAAGGAAGTTGGAGCCAGGTTATGGGCCTCTGGAAACTTCTGAACAAGTATGAAACATGATCAGGTCTCTGTTATAGCAATGTAATGCTTAGAGAAATGAATGGATTATTGGGGAAAACTAATGTAAGAGTCAACTGTATGAGTTCAGACAAAGAATCAAGAGGGCCTGGAAATAAGCAGAGATAAGAACAATGGGAAAGCGGGACCATAGCATAGTATTCTGGCAGAGATCACTGATCCCTATCTCCTGGTATTCACACCTTCATGTAATCCCCTTCTGGTATTCACACCTTTACACTTGCATCTAATGAACAGAATATAGCAAAAATGATGGAATGTCACTTTCAAGACCAGGTTATAAAAACTGCAACTTCTGCCTTAGCTGGTTTGACTCAGTGGTTAGAGCATTGGCCTGCAAACTGAAGGGTTCCAGATTCAATTCCTGTCAAGGTCACATGCCCGGGTTATGGGCTCGAGCTCTAGTAGGGGGCATGCAGGAGACAGCCAGTCAATGATTCTCTTTCATCATTGATGTTTCTCTCTCTCTCTCCCTTTCCTTTCCTTTCTGAAATCAATAAAAAAGATATTTAAAATACAAAACAAAACAAAAACCTGCAACTTCTAACTTCTTGGCATTCCCTTTGCCTCTCTTGTTGGCATAATTCTGTCTTGCTCACACAGATGAAGCCATCTGCCATCTTGTGAGATGCTCTATGAAGAGGACCTCATGGTAAGGAATCATGCAAGGCCTTTGGTCAATGGTTCATGAAGACTGAAGCTTCAGTCCAGCAACCTGCAAAGATCTGCTTCCTGCCAACAGTTGTGGGAGTCATCTTGGATGTAGATCCTTCCCAGATGAGCTTTGATGTTATTACAGTCCTTAGAAGAGACTTGAAGCCAGAAGACTCAGCTAAGCAATGCTAGGATTCCCACCCACAGAAACCATGAGGTAATGTATGTATATTGTTTTAACTAGATGTTTTGAGGTAATTTGTTACATGGCAACAGATAACAATACAGGTAGGGATCAGAACAATGAATATTGGGATCTGTGATCAATACCACCCAGGCAGAATCAGCTGAATTTAGTAATTGATAAGACTGTAGAAGTTGAGGGAGAGAGAAGTCATGGTAATTTAGAGAAAAGCAGAATCTGGAGGGTGACTGCCTGGGTTCAAATTCCTGCTCTGCCTTGTTAACTGTGTGACTCTGGGCTAGTCATTTCAACAATCTGAGCCTCTGTTTCTTTGTGTGTAAAAAGAAGATGATAAAAGTAACTACCTTACATACATCTGTCCTTTCCATTTATGAACTGCTTCAGCAACCAGCACAGTGGTGAATAATAGCACACTGAAACTGCTCAGCAGAAGTGTGCTGTGGCATTTCTAGAAGGTTCAGTGGTTAGCCTTATGCCAGCAAGGACAAGATTTAAATGATTCAGTGCAATTTTCTTGCAACCTATGAAGCCTTCATTGATCCTGTGTGAGGGAACACGCTCTATTACCCAGTATAGGAGAAAGCAGTTCTGTACAATTGTGACTTGTCATTCCTCAATCCTTCCCTTGGCAGCACTTGTGGGTGCAGCTTTCCTCTTGCACAGGAACTGAAACCATAACCTTGGCCTAATTAATTCTGTGCTTCAACCAACCAGAGTTAGCTGGCTTCAACAGACTTTTCCAGAGTCAAGCCTAGTCTCAGGGAGGACTAGAGCTTGGAATTACCTTCAAAGCGAGGTATCAATAGTATGAGACATGGTCTCACTTCCAAAAACCAAGGGACCCAACCAGCTATAAGACTGTCTTACCTGTCTTGGCAGAGGAGGCATGGATTCTGAAGCTGCTGACCGCTGAAAGCGCTGGGGCTGCTGCATCATCTGCTGCAGAAGGAATGAAGAACGGTCAGGCTGTTGCTGCTGCAGCTGAAAAGTGGCCGTGGCAGTGGAGGAGGCAGTGGCAGAAGAGGCCTGCGTCAGCATAGGCTGCTGTAGATAGTGGAGTAGAGAAGGCTGCCTAGAGGTGGCAGGCACGGAGGGCATCTTCTGGGGGACCGGCTCAGAAACGAAATGTGACAAGGGCTTGGTGTTGCCAAAAGTAAATGGCTCCGGGGCTCCTGGTCTGGAGCTGGCCAGCCCCTGCTGCATGATCATGCTCAGGGTCTTGGGTGAGTTGGTGGCCATGGGCTTGAAGATGGCATTTGTTTGCTGGTGCTGTTGCTGCTGGCTTAGTGGATTACTGCGGATCAATGAGCACTGTGGAGTGAAGGATTGCTGGGGCAAGCCTGGGCTGGAAAGCTTCTCTGGGCGGTAGGGTGGGGAGGGTCCTGGGTTGCTGGTGGGTAGAGCAGACATCAGGTGGCCTTGAGGGCTTTTCATGGTAGAGGACACTAGGTTGGCAAGAATGGAGCTCTGTGGGCTGAATTGTGGTTGCTGATTGAGAGATGGGCTGGGGAGCTTCTCGGGAGAATAGGACATAGTGGGCCCAAGGGCAGCATTGCTGCTGGGTGCCATGCTTGAGAGTAAGGCATTGGGAGAGCCTTGGAGAGTGCTCCCTGGCAGGTTGCTAGACGACATGCAGGATACCATTAGGCTCTGTGGGCTAAAAGGTGGTGGTGGGTGTGGTGATGGCACTGGGCGGTAAGGTGGGGAGAGGCCTGGAGAGGTCAGGCTAGACCAATTGGATGCGAGCCCTTGCTGCTTTGTAGTAGATCCCTGCTTGCTGGCTGCCAACGCCTTCAGCTGGTGGGCATGATGCCACTGAGGCACCGGGAGTGGGGGCATAGCCCCGGGGAGCATCGCCTGGGTCTGGCTCTTTGCCTGTGTTATTGCAGAACTGGGTGTTACCATCTGTTTACTAGTGGAAGGAATAGCATAGCCGATTCCTGCGGAGGAGGGTGGGATTTGAAGTGATATACCAGTGACCTGGCTACAACCAGAAGCAAACTCTTTACTGGAACCACGGCTCTCCAAGTGTGGCATCTGAGCTGAAGGCTTTCGAGTTGTGCCCAGGGTTCCCTGGGAGTGATCTAAGACTGGTGGTTCTTCTGGCTTGCTTCCCAGTATCTTCTCAAGATCTAGTTCATTTGGAGAAGGGTCTTGAATTTCTGTTAGCTCCTCTAGCAGATCTTGAAGTTCCTGGTCTTGCTCCATAGTCATCATGCTGTTGGTTTTGTCATAGTAAGGAATAGTGGGCTCTTTGAGTCCCATTTCTGCATTTGGTTGTACCATAAATGGCGAGTCCATTATGCTGCCATTCATGGAATTATTTTCGAGTAGTAATGAATGACCCGCTGCTCCCATAGCTGAAGGGCTAGGGTTCATTGTCAATGGAGGAACCTGCAGCTCTGCACAGGGCGTGCTGGAATGGGCACTTGGGCCCATAGAAAGAGTGACATCTTCAAGGCAAAGCCGCTTGATTTTATTAGGGTAACCCCCGTCAGCCATGCCTGGAAACTGGAAGTTGTCTCCTTCCTGTCTCCTCTTAATGGTTCCCTGTGGCTGAGAGAGAGGAGGGGTAGGTAATTTTTTATAAAGGCTTGTCAAAATAAATCGAATGAATAGCAAAACTTCCAAGATAAAACATCTTAGTTTCAAGACTTAAAATTGTCAAAATTCTACAATACAGCCTCTCTTTGGAACCATAATGCTTGTTTCTTTGTTGCTGTGTTTCACTTAAACTGTCTTTGTTACATTTTAAACAATGCATTATGCTATCAGTAATACTAAATACCACAGAAAGTAACTCAGAAAGTCAAATGATATTTTTTGTCCACTTAAAGGAGAGCAACAAAACTATGCAGAAGTCACTAAATAAAATGTGCTGTCAAAGGCAGGCATTTGAGAGCAAGCTAGAAGTAGTTAAGATATTTTCAATTTGCACCTGTCTACAGATACCCAGATTTCTTTTTTAATATATTTTTATTGGTTTTGTACAGAGAGGAAGGGAGAGAGATAGAAAGTTAGAAACACCGATGAGAGTCATCGATCAGCTGACTCTTGCACACCCCCTACTGTGGATATGCCTGCAACCAAGGTACATGCCCTTGACCGGAATCGAACTGGGGACCTTTCAGTCCCCAAGCCAACGCTCTATCCACTGAGCCAAACCGATTTCGGCTACCCAGATTTCTTAAAAAGGAAAAGCATAACATAGGCATTGAACTTTTATGTTGTTTCCCTGTATTGGTTAAATGCATCAGGTTGTAGTGATAAAATGGAACATAACAGAACCTTTAGCAAAATGAAGGAGCTCTGGGTGTATTCTTTAAGGCAGCTGACTAAGATACACTAGAGGACAATGCAAATTTCAGAAGTCATTGTAGCATGATTCCATTTATTTTCACACACACGTGTGCATGCGCGCACGCATGCACGCACTAACACACATTGGTATGAGCATATAAAAATAACTTGGGAAAACATATATGCAATCATTTGGAACAGGGACCTCTTGGGGAGGAATGGCTATTCCCTTTCTATTCTCCATATTTTGGTATTGTTTGTTTTTAATGAGAATGACTTGTAGTGCAAAAAAGTATAAAGCTATTTAAATAAGAAATTCCTCTCTGCAGGTACATCCTCAGATTGGGGAGATATGAAACAACAGGAAAAGACCCCAATCTGGAATATGCACCTTGGGGGAGCTGCTTATCATTTTATAAAAGCATTAGAGGCCCAGTGCATGAAATTCATGCACAGAGGGGGTGTGTGTGGGGGGGTGTTCATCTGCCCAGTCTGCATCCTCTCCAATCTAGGACCCCTCAAAGGATCAAGCCTAAATGGGCAGTCAGACATCCCTCTCACAATCCAGGACTGCTGGTTCCTAACTTCTCACTTGCCTGCCTTCCTGATTGCCCCTAACTGTTTCTGCCTGCCAGCCTGATCACCTCCTAACCATTCTCCTGCCAGCTTGATGCCTAACTGCTCCTCTGCCAGCCTGATTGTCCCTAACTGCCCTTCCCTGCAGGCCTGGTCACCCCTAACTCCCTTCCCTGCAGGCCTGGTCACCCCTAACTGCCCTCCCCTGCTGGTCTGGTCCCCCCAACTGCTCTCCCCTGCAGGCCTGGTCACCCCAATTTCCCTCCTCTACTGGCCTGGTCACCCCTAACTGCCCTCCCCTGCAGGTCTGGTCCCTCCCAACTGCCCTCCCCTGCTGGCCATCTTGTGGTAGCCATCTTGTGTCCACATGGGGGCAGTATCTTTGACCATATGGGGGCAGCCATCTTGTGTGTTGTAGTGATGGTTGCGTTGCATATTACTCTTTCATTAGATAGGATAGAGGCCTGGTGCATGAGTGGGGCCAGCTGGTTTGCCCTGAAGGGTGTCCTGGACCAGGATGAGGGTTCCTTAGGGGTGTGGGGCAGCCTGGGAGAAGGGTCTGTGGTGGTTTGCAGGTCGGCCACACCCCCAGTGACCCAAGCAGAGGCCCTGGTAACTGGGATTTATTTATCTTCTACAATTGAAACATTGTAGCCTGAAGCAGAGCCAAGCCTCCTGCTCACTTTGTGGTGGAAGCTTTGTGGTGGAAGCCATTTCTGTTGGGATTTATTTATCTTCCATAATTGAAACTTTGTAGCCTGGAGTGGAGGCCTGGGATGGCCACGTTGTGCGAAAAGCTTGGTTCCTCCATTGCCGGAGGCAGCCCTAGCCTCCTGCTCTCTCTAGCTCCATGGCTGCCTCCATTTTTGTTGGGATTTATTTATCTTCTATAATTGAAACTTTGTAGCATTGAGTGGAGGGCCTGGGCTGGCCAGGGTGTGCAGAAAGTTTAGCTTCCTCCATTGCCAGGGAAACCCAAGCCTCCCTCCTGCTCTCTCTGTGGCTGCAGTCATCTTGGTTGGGTTAGTTTGCATACTTGATCCTGACTGGATGGTGGGCGTGGCTTGTGGATGTGGCAGAGTGATGGTTAATTTGCATATTACTCTTTTATTAGATAGGTTATCTTTGGGAACAAAGCAATTAGAAATGCAATATTTCCTACTCTTTTATACTCTTTCAAGATTTATATAGTCGCCTGTAGCTGTCATGTTAATGGCTATGACCTGCAAGTAAAGGGGAAAGGGAGTGGATCAAAGGAATATGAGTGGGTTGAGAGGGGCTTGAAAATCACCCAAAAACCAACAATCTAGTCTAACAGACATATTTCTCTTCAAGCATTTTTCATGTGAGAAACCCCCTTTTAGCTTTGGCAATCTTACTGAGACATCCAGTATTGTCCCCTCAGATTTTGCTCACAGGGGAGTAAACATCTGTGTGGGGCCACCTGCTAGCACAACAATGATCATGATTCTCAAGGCAGACTGGATATCATAAGAGATCTCTTAGGTCTGCATGTCTACACCTTGCTGCACATCAGAATAACTTAGAGACACCCAGATTCCCAGGTTCTCCCACCATTAATGAATTAGTTCAATATAATCTGAAGTGGGGCCCAGGCTTCTGAAAAATTTCAAAGCTCTCTGGCTGAGTTTAAGTGGACAGTCAAATTGAGAACCACTGGCTCAGAGCACAGTGGAGCCAATGTGGCATAGTGCCCTGGTCTCATGGCAGAAACACCTAAGTCTTTGCCTTTGCACTTAATATCTCTGAGCCCCAGTTTCTTCATTTGTAAAATGTGCATAATTTTAGTTCTCATTTATGATGCTGCTCTGACTCTTATGTGGAATGGGACAGATTCTGGGGCACCTAGTACATCTAGAAGGACCCTGGGAGTCCAACTCTGTCCTATTTAAGACAGGGACCCTGAGACCCAGGGAGGGGGCAGGATTTGCTCAGAGCCTCTCAACTGGAGGGCAGATGCAGGGCCCCTCCATGACCATTCAGCTGCCTCCAGACTCATTGCCTTAATCCACCAAGGGGGCAGGACATTGACTACTTCGTACTTACAGAACAGGTTCCACCACTCTGACAAAGGGGACTTGCCTATTTTTTTTTTGCCTTTTCTTTTGAAATGATCAGGCCACATGTTTTCCTGTACATTCATTCAATCAATATGGAGCATCCCACCAACAAGTCACTGGGTCCCAAACTGAAATTTGGTCTCTCTTACATTCTGCCAAAAAAAGGTTAAAGAAACCCAATATATTGAATAGAAATGTATGAAATGGATCAATAAGGAATGACAGTGTGGGTTTTACATAAGATCCTCTGTAGAGAGTTTGAGATGGCAGTGGTTGGTCCCAATGTGCTGTTTGTAAAATCGGCAAGACAGATTTAATGACAGTGAAGGTTATATAGAGTCAGGCAGGGGAGGGATGGGGTTGGGGGATGGGAAGGAAGAGACGGCAGGGGCTATAAGTAACAGTATCCTGGAATCTCTGGCAGGTTCTTTGTGCTCCTGTAGCTTTCATTTAGTGGTAGGTATTCCAATAACCTGTTGGGACTAAGGTTGAAGGAGGTAGAGAAATCAGGGAGTGACCTAGGAATGCTAAAAGTAATATTAGGAACCATTTGCAAAGGACAGGGGTATCCAACTTTCAGGCACCCATCAGTACATTCAAGCTAAGATCCCCCCTTAATTCCAATTCCAACCAGCTCCTCAATAACAAAGTAGAACCCAGGATGCCCCTGGGATATGTTTATGGCTGTCCCAATGCTGGTGGATCCAATTGCTGCAGCAGGTGCTATTCTTGCTGTGCCAAATCTTCAGCTGGACAGCTGATCACCTCATTTAATATTTGAGAGCATGTCTAATCAGAGGACAGGCTGGTCTTGTCCCTGGGGACACAGGGTTGCTAGTCAAGGCTGCAGTTTCAGCAGAGGGGCAGATGGAAGCCTCTTCTGAGCTCTCCTTTTTTTCAGTATATGTGCCACCCAAGAGAGCACCGAGTTCTCCTTTTTCAATAGAGTTAAAGGAGACTCAACTTTATTAGAAGCTGTGCAGCTTTGCATCTGAAATTTTATAGTGAGAGCTTTCAACAGTTTGCCTAAAGTACCTTGGCTGACTCCAGCCAAACTTAAACAAGGCTCAGGAAGGTGGCTGCATTTACATGGAACTACCCAACCTTGCTCTAAATGCATCTGCTTTCACCAGGCATTGGTGAGGTGTGGAAATCTATTATCCAGTTAATGTTTCCCATAGATATAGGCTTTCTTTAGTGCCTCCTCTAGCACAGTCCCATGATTTGTTACTTATCTCAGTTGCAAGAAAATGGCTGAGCTGTCTCCTGTGCTTAGTGCACACTGACACTTTCACTGAGTCACCTGGACCAGTGGGTAATGGGCTAAGATTTGCCCTCCTAGGCTGAGTGTTTATTGATTCCTGTGGCCAACAATCTAGATCAAATGCAGCAGATAACTTGCTAATCCTTGGGAATGGCTTCCCCGATCAACTTTGCATTTGGGGATGGAAGGTCCCAACCAAGCTTTCAGACTCTTCTAAATAAAACTTCCAGCATCATGCAGTGCCATTTCCAGTTTCTGTGGACTCCATGACAGCAAGCTATTGGTCCAAGCTACTAGCCAACCCCTACTTCATTCAGGCACATGATCCTGCCCAC